TACCTACCACACCCCTATAAAAGTTTCTCCTACTTTAGCTTTCGGGGTCCCCTACCAAATTACTTTCTCACTTGGGTTTAAAGGGTCCTTCATTACTTAACATCTCCCAAAATCTCTCTCCTTTCCCCTCATTTCCCCTCTTCTCCGTGCATACCCTTTTTAGACCACTTCCCCGCACCAACTTTTTCTTAATCCACAAAATTCTTGAATTACACATTTATATTCTTTTTTCCCCCCTTTTCCCTAACTGATCATTCAAAAATTTCTGCTACCCCTTTCCTTTTCTCTAACTCTCTCAGATACTCCAGATTTAAAACCCCTTTTTTTCCCCCCAAACCCAAAATCCCCTACCCCCCCTTTAGCTTTGTTTCGCTTAGGGCCAGACCCAACTTCTTTTCATTCAAAACATCACAACATCGTTTCTTGTCACTGCACTACATCCACGCCATTCAAGCATCCATTTTATAAAGTTTTTTCTTCTTCTCTTTTTAGTAAAAGCTACAGGGAAGGGGGGTTAAAAACCCCTTGCTCCCGGCTTTTAGTCCCTCATACGACACGCAGGCTTCGGAGGAAAGATTCTTTTTTCCCTTCCCCCTGGACAATAGAAAAAATAAAAAAAACGGCTTTTAAAAAAGGAGAAAAAAACCCAATTATGTATATATTTGGTCGTCTGTGAAATGTGACCAAAAAGGGAAGTTGGAGTGCAAGATATCCCCGTTATTGCTTTTTATGAAAGAAAAAGACACCACAATCCTACCCATGCAAAACAGTTACAGGTTTCTGTTTACAAACCCGGGAGGACGGTAGTACTTCCCTGGTGGTTGCGTCTACCAAACCCATACCCATATATTATATGCTGCATGCATGCAAATATATGCATGCTGCTTGTAAAATGTATGTGTAGTGGAAACCCAATGTAAGTAAATAGCAAGACATACCTGAAATCTTGCATGTTTATGAGACAAAAAAAAGATACCAGCAATCCCACCATCATGTAAAGCAATTACAGGCTTTCGTTTTTACACTTACTTGGCAGGACAGTAGTACCTCCCTGGGTGGTTGCTGTCTACCAGCTTACTACTAAATATATTGTATATATATTGTAAATATTGATGGTGGGAATGTACAAGCAGTCAGAGACTGCCTTTGGTGTTAACCTATGCCTTTAATATTTCTTGATTGTTCCTTTACTGGTAATTTATGTTATGAAGTCCTTCTGCGTTCATTTGGTGCATTATGAAAATTAGACACATGTGCAGTATCTAGATATCTTTATTGTAGATGTTTTGCCAACCAGTTGCTTTATCAATTCAAATTCAAGGACATAATTGGAAGGCAGTAGAACTATGATAGAGCCTCTGGTTGGCAAAACATCTTCAATAAAGATACCCAGATGTTGCACATGTGTCTAATTTTCATTTTGTTGGTACTGTATACCATTCATATAGTGCTTCTCCATGAATATCCTTATATAATAATTTAAATAATACATTATCACTACTAGTAAGTAACACTGAGCAAAGTTACAAAATCTGAAAAGTTAGGTCTGGAAGTTAGTGTTGTTCAGTAAAAAGGAACATTTAAAAGCCTTGTTTATATAATAATTTTTAATGCTCTTGTCATAATATTAGGTATTAATATCTATAGAGCATTACATAGTTTTTCAAAACCATTGAGAGAAATTACGTATTCTTAAATTGGTTCATCTTTCCATTCGAGAAGTGGCATTGCTTGCTTAAGTTTCTGATAGGGTTAAACTTGCATTGTTCCATCTTCATTGTTTAAATTGTTATATCATGTTCTAGTTTCTATTTTATGAAGAAAACACTTCATCTTTACAGTACAGTGGACCCCCGGTTAACGATATTTTTTCACTCCGGAAGTATGTTCAGGTGCCAGTACTGACCGAATTTGTTCCCATAAGGAATATTGTGAAGTAGATTAGTCCATTTCAGACCCCCAAACATACACGTACAAACGCACTTACGTAAATACACTTACATAATTGGTCGCATTTGGAGGTAATCGTTATGCGGGGGTCCACTGTATTGTTTCTTTTCAGATTGCAGATAGTGATTATGTGTTCTTCCTATTCTTTATCTATTTTATTGTTTCCTGTTTGTTCATTTTTAATGGGATTATCATATTTTCTCTTGCTCCCATCAGCCAATGAGGGCTGTGACTTCACAGTTTCTGCATGGTTCCTGGTTAACACAGCCTTAATAATTAAGTGCTACCAGTTGTTTACCTTCCAACTTGTCTTTGGCAAACCATCATATAACATGTTATGCCTCAGCACTATTATCTGATATAAAGAGCTGAGTATGTTAACCCTTTCACTATCTAGACCCCCGAAGTTAATATTGCTCCCAGTTTCAACTTTTTAAAAAAATAGTGCTAATTTGGTAAATTTTACACAAATTTAAAAAATACTAATTTAAAAACAGAGTGAAAAATAATGTAGACAATCTTGATACTAAAACAACATTTCCTCTGTTCATTTATCACATTCCCAGGCCTTTCCTCTATTACACTTACCTTCCATTTTCAATTTACAGTGGACCCCCGCATAACGATTACCTCCGAATGCGACCAATTATGTAAGTGTATTTATGTAAGTGCGTTTGTACGTGTATGTTTGGGGGTCTGAAAGGAATAATCTACTTCACAATATTCCTTATGGGAATAAATTCGGTCAGTACTGGCACCTGAACATACTTATGGAGTGAAAAAATATCGTTAACCGGGGGTCCACTGTATAATCACACAAAAATAGGAGATTTACTCAATTTCCTTGATAATAAAATATAGCCAGGAATAATTGGTTATGGTTTATGGCACACCAATAATTGAGTCAGACTTTTTAAAAACCTGTAAAACAGACAGGGGGAAGAGTAAGGGACCTTACTCATCCTCAAAGAAAAACAAAAAAAAAATATTAATATTTCCTTTACTTTAAGCCCAGTTTCAAGCTACTTTTGGTCCTGAAACAACCATAATCATCACTATTTCAGTAGTATGTCTTCCATTTTATCAAATGATACCAAGAAACAGTCAACAAAATCTTAAAACCATCCTGGAAAACACCACAAAAATCACTATTTTAAACCAGATACATGGTCAAGGTTTTGCTTTTTCCATCATGCAACATGTGGGGCAGGATTTTTTTATACTGTGCACACTAGCTGTGCAGACCCATTCTTGTACCTAGGCCAAAATTTGCCACTCACAGCTTATCTGAATGAGCTGAGCTCATGACGTAGAACTATGTGAGGGACTCTGGCGTCAATGATGTGTACTACGTGACAGCCACTGAAAGGGTTCAAGTCATCCCTACAAGACAAGTGAAGTCATTGGCTTGATTATGCTGCATGTAACTTCTTGTAAGCAAGCAGTGTTCCCATATTATGCCTGACCTACAGCATTTATAAATGATAAGTCTTAATGGTTCAAGCAGCCTAATTTATTTTTTATTTATTTATTTATTTAATAATTTGAACATACAGAGGTACAAAAAAATACAGGTAAGAGCAGCATGCCAAAGCCACTTGCATGCATAGCATTACGGGCAGGCTTAAAATTAACTTAAGATTAACCCTTTGACTGTTGTGGCCGTATATATACGTCTTACGAGGTACTGTGTTTGACGTATATATACTCATAAATTCTAGCGGCTTCAAATCAAGCAGGAGAAAGCTGGTAGGCCCACATGTGAGAGAATGGGTCTGTGTGGTCAGCGTGCACCATATAAAAAAAATCCTGGAGCACGCAGTGCATAATGAGAAAAAAAAAACTCCGACCGTTTTTTTTAATTAAAATGCCGACTTTGTGGTCTATTTTCGTATAGTATTTATGGTTGTATTCTCATTTTCTTGGTCTCATTTGATAGAATGGAAAACATATTATAGAAATAGAGGTGATTTTGATTGATTTTACTATAAAAAGAACCTAGAAATGGAGCTCAAAGTAGGGGAAATGTTTGATTTTTGCCAATGTTCAAAAGTAAACAAATGATGCCATTGTCCAATAAATGTCCAACTAGCCATTCTAATATGCAGTCATGAATGGGTTGATGTTATTTATACAATTATTACAGTATTGCAGTAGTCTGCATAATAGTAAGTCTTCTATTTTTTGTTTGAATAAAAATTCAAAATAGAAAGCAAGAGTAATATCAGAGTGGCCTGGAGACATGACTGATGAGCAAAGAAAATGTTATTTTAGAGCCAGAAATGTCTGCATTGTTCATTCTGGACCTTATTTTGAAATTGTCATATTTTTTAGTTTTCGTGAAATTGGCCAAATTGCAAATTTCTGACCACATTATTAGGTAGTTGAAATCGGTAAATGGGCAGTTTCTTGTACTCAATCGATAGAAAAAATGGAGTTCTAAAGAAATAGCTATGAGTTTGGGCGACTGGAACAATGAAATTAGCCGAAAATAGGGCTCAAAGTGGGCGAAATCGCCGATTTGTAAACAGCGCTGAGGTCGCTAACTTTGCGAGAGCATAATTCCGTCAGTTTTCCATCAAATTTCGTTTTTTTGGTGTCATTACAATCGGGAAAAGATTCTCTATCATTTCATAAGAAAAAATATTTTTTTTTTTTTTTTAAATTTTGCGACACCAGGAGACACCTCAGGATTGGGGGTTGCGACAGTCAAAGGGTTAACTAATGGGTAAAAGAGTAGAATATTGAGCAAAACAGCAAGAGTTAAATTAATAATTGTATTTTAACCTTTTTTGTGGAAAGTTTGTAGCGTAAGATTAAGCTTTAATAAATAACAGAAATCATCAATGGAATGAGTCACAATAATAGACATGCACACACCAGATTATTTAATTTAGTACTAATAATGAACAAATGATGGCATACCTAGATAAAAAAATGTTTTGTGTGACCCCTTAAGAGGTTACTTAAGGTCACATGGAAGAACCTGGTGAAGAGGCTTTGGTTTATTAAATGCATTGCCCAAAATAACTTTGATGATCATATTACAGGTAAAACAGCAAGCCATGCTCTTGTGTTTGCCCAGTTATATACCCCTGATGGAGTGTGTCAAGGTCTTCACTCTTTCATTGTTCCCATAAGAGATCCTCAGACACTGCTGCCATACCCAGGGATCACCATCATTGATATGGGGCATAAGATTGGCCTAAATGGCATTGACAATGGGTGAGTTAAATTTCACTGCAGTTTTTCTTGAATAAATTAAACACAGTATCCATTTCCCACTAAGGAAAAAGTGAAGCCAAGAAGAAAACCACCTTCACCATCACTCATTCTTGAGCTGTCTTGCCAAAAGTCCACGTGTTGCAGTTCAGTTAATTCTTCGAACCTGAACATCCTCACCCATTCTTCAGATTACAGATGCCTTCCTTAAATCCCTTGCTTGCACTCCCAATAGTTAGTGAAATTTGTGAAGATGCTTATCTCAACTCACACAGATCTTGCATGCTTACTGAATGCTGAAACTCCTGCCACTCAAAACATCCTTCACTCTCTCTCCAACCCTTCCTGGGCTGTCCCTGTTTACAAGTAATAACATTTTTTTTTTTTTTAGCAAAACACAAAAATGTTATTGCTTCAAATTTAATCCAAGTGTTGTTTTATGATCCCTCAGGGAAATGAGGAGTTCTTTGTAATGACCATGAGGAAACCTTGATAATGGGCCTGGTGAAGGTATTATTGTAACTCTTGGCTATATCTGTAGATTATGTTCAGTATTAAATTTAGTAACCATTTGTTAGCGTCTAGCTGACTCCAAACAATTTTAGTCCAGCAACATTATTTGACTCTTTCGTTGTCAGGAACCCTGAAATTAAAAGTGCTAACAATGGCACAAAAAAATACAAAATTTGATGAAGCACTCATGGAATTATACAGACGTAAAGTTGTAGGTCTGAGCATAATTTACGCATTGGTGATTTTTGCCCACTTTGAGTCCTGTTTTAAGCCAATTCCATTTCTCAATTTGACCAGATTCTTAACTATTTTGTAGTAAGCCTTCTGCTCTACCAATTGAACACCAGTAACCACCCAATCAACTCTATCAGAATTACCCTATTAAGTGCACAGAAGTTGATAATTTGGCCAGTTTTATACAAACTTAAACAAATTCCCCTTTAAAAACTCATGAAAGTACACAGGCATGAAGTTGCCTGTGTAATTTCTGCCATTTTCCCAATTTGAGGCTTTAGGTCAATTTCATTGCTCAAACCAAGCCAATTCCTAGCTATTTCTCTAATATGTCCTTCCATTCTATCAACTGAGAGCAAGAAGCTGCCTATTCATCTATCAGAAGTATTCTATTGAGTACCCAGAAGTTGGTAATTTGGCCAATTATGAGCAAAATTCAACAAGTTCCAATTTTAAAATAGAGTCCAAAATAAACTGCATACATTCTAGCCACTAAAGTAACATAAATTCAAATTCAGATTTTTATTTCTTTGCATAATGTACAATGTGTGATTTTCGTTTTTTTTTTTTTTTTTAACACATCGGCCGTTTCCCACCAAGGCAGCGTGGCCTGAAACATGCCTGAACATTTTGGGTAGACTAATCCTAATGCTTACACACTACTTAAAACTAGACATGGGTTGTGAGGCGGTAAATAATAATAATAATAATAATAATAATTTTATTTCAGCTTGATACATTGTATGTACAAAAGTGAATGACATTTGGGTGTGCATGCATAAAACCCCTTAATATGCAGAGCATTTCGGGCACACTTAAGACTAACTTAAGATTAAAAAGTGAATAACAATTTCTGTAATTATGTACATATAGTCTCTAAGGTGTGTGTATGTATAAATTACAATGAAAACAAGAGAATTGAATATCCTATTAGTCCGTGCTATATGGCTTTTATCAAGTTTAATTGATAAGGAATTACAGGTGTGATTATGATATAGGTGATGAGGATTCTAGCATTTTAGCCCTTTGAGAGTCCAGATCCCTAATCTGAAAATTCCCCACAGGGTCCAAGAATTTAAAAAAAAAAAAGTTTATTATTTTCTCCTATGAATCTTTTTCTGAAGGAAAAAAAAAAAGTATGAAATTTTATCAAAAATAGACAAAATACGCTCTCGTGAATTTTGCTGTGTCATCGATAATTAAACACATCAGTGATTTTGCCCGCTTAATGTCCTATTTTCGGCCAATTACATTGTTCCATTAGATCAAATTCTTAGCTGTTTTACTAGTATGTGTTCCATTTTATCTATTGAGCACAAGAAGTTGCCCAGTCAACTATTTCAGTTACCCAGTAAAGTGATCATAAATTGGTAATTTGGTCAATTTCACAAAGTTCAAAATATTCCAATTTCAGTTTTTTTTTTTTTTTCAGCACATTGGTCATCTCCCACCAAGGCAGGGTGACCCAAAAAGAAAGAAAATACCCAAAAAGAAAATATTTTCATCATCATTCAACACTTTCACCTCATACATAATCACTGTCTTTGCAGAGGTGCTCAGATACGACAGTTTAAAAGTCATCCTCCAAACTGCCAATATCCCAAACCCCTCCTTCAACCCTTAAACTGTCCAAACGTAGATCTGCGTTCACTCACGTGGTGCTCCGAATATTTTGAAAAATAAAAAAAAATTGTTTTTTCTTTTAAAATGAAGAGTGCATTTTTCTACATGTTATAGGATTAAAAAAAATAAGGGTAAGTACTTAACGAGATATAAGACCATGAAGTTGACTCTGGATGCTCACCTGATGGCAACATCGACTCCTACAGCTTGCAGAAGTGTTGCCAGAATATACCTTTTTTTTCTCATTTTTATTTTAATTTATATATTTTTTATGTTCTGATAATTACAAATTATTATAGTTCTTATAATTTCATAGCCAATCTTTGTTCTGACACTAATATTAGGTACTGAAATAGTACTCAAATAGTCACAATCACTTTGACAGGTGAACATTTACACCTGCTTGGGTTATTTACTATTGTCTAGAAATATATACAAGGTATTTATAGGTCCCATCAATGTTTTAGATACCCTGGCATATACCTTGAAGCATGATGTTATGAAAGGCATCCCTATACTGTTGACAGCCCAGTGACATTTGATAAATGCCCACTGCTCCAGCTAACCCTCGCTGCATTTGTTATCACTGTTACACACAAACATGTCTTGTTGCTCTATATAACTGTCTATCTGTCTGTGTCTATCTGCTGTCTATCTGCCTGTCTGTCTGTCTGTCTCTGCTTATCTGTCTTTCTGTCTGCCTGGAGTATATGTATATCACACTCCTTGAAGAATCGTGTTATGACATCTGTTATCAGCTCGGTGACATTTGATAAATGGGTGCTCGGGGCAACCCTGGCTTTATTTTTTCCTGGATACACACAAACTTCTGTCTGTGTCTCTATCTGTCTGTCTGTCTGTCTGTCTGTCTATCTATCTGTCTATCTATCTGTCTATCTATCTATCTATCTATCTATCTATCTATCTATCTATCTATCTATCTATCTATCTATCTGTCTGTCTGTCTATCTTTGCCTGGAATTTTTGGATTATCCCAGGTAATTTACACTATGTATAATAACTGTACTTATGTGTACATGTGAGACAGATACAGTGGACCCCCGCATAACGATATTAATCCGTTCCTGAGAGCTCATTGTTATGCGAAATTATCGTTACGCGAATGAATTTTCCCCATAAGAAATAATGGCAATCAAATTAATCCGTGCAAGACACCCAAAAGTATGAAAAAATTTTTTTTACCACATGAAATATACATTTTCCTACACACAAAGAGAAGGATACATGCACAATAGTAGAGTAGTATACATGCACAGTATATATTGTGTATGTACTACTCTACTAAATGAAGAATAAATGACACTTACCTTTATTGAAGATGCAGCAATGACTGATGAGACACTGTGTCCTGGGAGTGCCTTTTCCTCCTGAGTACTGTAGGTCTTGTTTGGCATTTTCTTCCAGAACAGGCCTTATCACACTGTGTATGCCACTACGATTCTTAAATCTCTCAAACCAACCTTTGCTGGCTTTAAATTCACCAATATGAGCACTAGTTCCAGGCATTTTTCCCTGTTCACCTGAGTGTTAGTCGACTGGTGTGGGTTGCATCCTGGGAGACAAGATTAAGGACCCCAATGGAAATAAGTTAGACAGTCTTCGATGACACTGACTTTTTTGGGTTATCCTAGGGTGGCTAACCCTCTGGGGTTAATTGTTTCTTGGTATTCTCAATAAGCCACACCAACAACGGTGCTACAGCAGCAGCAGCAGCTGACAGTGCTACAGCAGCAGCTGACAGTGCTACAGCAGCAGCAGACGATGCTACAGCAGCAGCAGACGGTACTACAGCAGCAGCAGCAGCTGACGGTGGTACAGCAGCAGCAGCAGCTGACGGTGCTACAGCAGCAGCAGCAGCTGACAGTACTACAGCAGCAGCAGCAGCAGCAGCAGCTGACAGTGCAGCAGCAGCAGCTGACAGTGCTACAGCAGCAGCAGCAGCTGACAGTGCTACAGCAGCAGCAGCAGCTGACAGAGCTACAGCAGCAGCAGACGGTGCTACAGCAGCAGCAGACTGTACTACAGCAGCAGCAGCAGCTGATGGCAGTACAGCAGCAGCAGCAGCTGATGGCAGTACAGCAGCAGCAGCAGCTGATGGCAGTACAGCAGCAGCAGCATCTGACAGTGCTACAGCAGCAGCAGCAGCTGACAGTGCAGCAGCAGCAGCAGCTGACAGTGCTACAGCAGCAGCAGCAGCAGCTGACAGTGCTACAGCAGCAGCAGCTGACAGTGCTACAGTAGCAGCAGCTGACAGTGCTACAGCAGCAGCTGACAGTGCTACAGCAGCAGCAGACGGTGCTACAGCAGCAGCAGACGGTGCTACAGCAGCAGCAGATGGTACTACAGCAGCAGCAGCAACTGACGGGGCTACAGCAGCAGCAGCAGCTGACAGTGCTACAGCAGCAGCAGCATCAGCAGTTGACCATGGTACCACAGTATTTCGATAATATTTCTCACCCTTTTTACCACAGGGTTGGCACTAGAAGCTTTCTTGGGGCCCATGGTCACTTATTTTGCAGATAAAATCACCAAAAATGCTGTAATAATACGAAATGTTCCGATTGTATGCTTGGACGTTACCGCGGAGGCTGGCTTGTAAACAATGCCACCGG